ACATCGTGCTAGACTATTTGGATCAATTTATGTTTCTGGGCAACGGAGCCCGGTTTCTTATAATCGTACCCGTTTTATTAGATAGTGCACGGCACTAATAAAACGGACCCGGTATCTTTCATACCCCCAAAACTTTGTGTCGAACGAGCCCGTTAACTAGTCATCAAACCCGTACCCGGTATACACACAACATTAACCTACCCCTTCATCTTTTCTAGAAACTGGACCCTGCTTCAATTTAATATTGTCACCTGTTACCCTGGGTGCCAGAGGCTTTTCATGCGCGGTTTCCGGTTTCGGCCAAGTCTTAAAAAGTGACCCGCACGAAAAGCAAGCGTAAATCAAGGAGCTCTGCGCCCGGGTTTTTTCTCGTGGCTTCACCGCTCGTGTCTTCGGCCTTGGGCCGACAAAACGAACCTCTGGTACCCAGGTTACCAGTCTGTATGACATTAAAGAAATAATAATAAAAGTGAAATTAAAAATGTACGCCGGTGACGTTTTAAGTATTTACATTATGACTTATAACACTCGTTTTGTATTCCAGACGAAAAAGTTAGAAACAGCACTAGCACCTTTGACGACAAAACTATTTCCTGCAGCACCCCGAGGTAGTAATGCAGGTGGTATGCTCTTCGACGTGGATGATGCATGGGATTGCAATTGTGATAAGAGCAATTAACAGGCTTCGGCCAGTCTTCGGATGTTACACAAGCTCGATGCCGAAGAAACACGGTACTGGATAGACGACTTCAAACAGCATATATCCTTTATTCATCCCAAAAAATATCCGTTGTTTTAGGGCGAAGGAAGAAAATTTCGTGGACGTGTTCCCCTCGCGCGGCCTGTAAAAACAGTTACACACGCCTGCTACGCAGACAAACTAAAAATCTGGCAGATATTGACCAACATTGATTTGTACAAATTTACCTCTGATTTAGGGTTTGCGAAAAAACAAAAACAAAAACAGACAAAACAAAACAAAAAGAAAGTCATTTTATCACCATCACAGCACACTTCTTAGGGGCTTGTTCCAAATTGACGGGCCTTGCCGCGCTCATGGTTGAAGCGCCGTCTTCTTCGTTTTCTCCCTGATAATTTCTCAGCCAGCTATGTTTATCACCAGGGAAGCAGGGCTTTCTCTTGGCGACCAGACACAAGATCTGAATATTTTCCTAGAAGAATTCTCGGTTTTCACTGTCACGCAATCAAAAATAAAATTGCAAACCATTCAATACAGAAAGTCCCGAATCTAGGAAATAAAAGAAGATAAATAAACAAAAGGCCTTGCCGCGGTCTGGGCGATATTTCATGGATATTAGGAAAAACGTTTTCAAAATTTACAAAGTTTTGGCGACGCCATGTTTGATAAATTCTCAACCATCTGTTTTTGAGTTTTCCTACTAATGTTTTCATCGCTTGAAAAACTCATAAACTATTAAAGGATATTTATTCTGAGACAAGGAATGTTTAGACAGCAAAATTTGGTAATCCCACATAAGAGCCGTTGGCCGCCACCAGTCACAAAAGCCTATTCAAACGTCCTCTATCGCAAAACGAAGAACCCTTTCGATTTTCCGTTTAGGTGCTGTAATACCTCATGAAACTCAGAAACTCAGAAGAATCGATAGTTTCGTTTGAATTTTGGTGACGTCATGTGAAAACCGAGAATTCAGGGGCGGATCTAGGGGGAGGGTGCAGGGGGTGCGCACCCCCGCCCCCCGCTGAGATGACCTGCGGTTTTCTAATACAACTGGTATTCTGCAAAAAAAGAGAAAACTATGTGGTTTATTGGTGTTGAAGTAGAGCAAGAGGCAAGTGCACCCCCTCCTAAAAAAAATCCTGGATCCGCCCCTGGAATTTGAGATTTTCAAAACACTGTAAACCAGGATGGGCTCCTGTGTAAACCCAAAACAGGCGAAGCGCAACCTCGGCGATCACGCACCGCCCATGAACCTTGTCCATAACGGAAAAGTAACAAAAGTGTAAGTGTAGGTGTAACTCTTCTGTTTTAATATTTGTAATTAATTACTTTTTTTACTTGTTTTAAGCAATTTTTTTTACCCGATCCCTGATCCTAGATCCTTGATCCCCGATCCTGATTTTCCAGTAAACCATTGCCAGGCGACGCGTTATCGCGCCGGTGTGTACAAGAAGTACAATACTCTGGGATCTGAAAACGTTACTTTTGTTCGCGAAAATCAATAAAAATGACTTAATTCTGGTATATCCCACTGTGTTTTGGTGTTTGCTTGTTGTTTCGATAAACCTTATGAAAATCTTATCGAATAAATTGACACTTGTGATATTTTTCCGTCCTTCATTTTTGGATAGGCCTTCACCGGGGCACACAGATTATCCACAGAGCCCAGAAGAACCCATAGAAATGTTCAAACTGTCAATATGTGGCCATATCAGGGGCCTCCCTGGGCCATATTTATTTTTGACCACGCGACTATCGAACTGGCACTAATATCCTGATAGGGCGAATGGGGAAATTGTCTCATTTTTGGTTTTTGGAAGGTGTTTCAGCGGATGACTGACAAGATCTCTGTTTACTTAAAGTTTCAGTGAAAAGAAGTGTAAGACATTGCATGTGAATTGCATGTTGTTAAGTGAGAGGATTGGTGTGAAGGTCTCGTGACAAAGTTGTGACGCGTGTCACGTGATTTTAGGTATAAAACCCTTTTGTCACTTTCAAGTTAGTCTCTCTTCAGCTGCGAGTTCCGGAGGTTCAACAATCATGCAGTTTTCCTTGATTTTGGTTATTTTTTCGATCATCAGCCTTTCTCAGGCTGTTTTGAGGTAAGATCTACGTTATTAATACAATCTTTGCTGGCCGAAAAGTCTTATTTTCGCTTTTTCTATTCGGGACCCAGTTCCGGCAGCACGCACGCAGAGAAATTTTTTTCGCCCAGTGAATCCACAGATTGATGCTTTCCTTTAATTTCTCGATCAAGCATACATTCTGTATTTCCGAGTTTGGTTTCGATTTGTAAAAAGACAAACATCTAGCTGAACGTTCTAGAAGTGGTGCTTAATAATTATGCTTTCTTTCCATTCACGCAATAAGCTTGTAATTTCTTAAACGAACTTGCCAGAAAAAATAAAACCTGGACGGCTCTGCTGGTAAGCAAGCATTTTGCTTCAATCCACCATCCCGCTGAAATTTTTAAGTCTACGTCCCATGATTTCGACTCAACTTTTGTGTGTTTTTGTCTGCTTGAATATTAATTATGTTTTCAATGTGATCTGCGAGTGGGTTCGATTTATTAATATTCATGTTTTTTTTTCCATCAATGCTTTCTGATCAAAGCTAACTTTTTTTTTTCATCAAAGCTGTAAGTATCACTGAATGAGCAGCTAATAAAATGAATTTTTCGTCAGTGCAGCGGTCCTGGGCCATTTGTAGCCGAACCAGCCTAAACTTGAACAGTACTTTTTACTAGCAACTCTCTGCTCTAACAACAGGGTCGATCCTCTCTGCATACAAGTCACGTGTACGTACTTTGTTTTATAAGTAAAGACTTGTTCTCTTCTCGTGGCGTATGAAGGCCTTTGTTCTTGGAATCCTTGACTCCTAATCTGTGATCTCAGCACAATTTTTATTTTTACTATTTTGTCACACATTTACAAATTCACAGTTATTGTACTTCAAAGTCCTCTTTTGGAGATTTTTTCTCCCGAACGTAATTAAATTTCAGTTTCTATTGGCAAAGGAAAGAGAACAAATTGGCAAGGTTTGAAGTAGTGCATAATTAACTGTACATGTGCTTTGTGAAAATGAAAGAATTGAATGTAAGTGGTGGAAAATTACTAGCCGGTTTCCAGCTGTGTGAGGTGAAGTTTCTCAAGAACAGTGGTGGTCTGCCTCTGTTTAGATGTGTTGGGGTGGCAAAATTGCTAGATACCATAAATCCTCTATTAAGCCCCCTTGGGGGGGGGGACAGGGGCTTATTTAATATTGAAAAGACAATGGTATTAGTTCTCCATAAAGACCTAGAATACATAGTGGATAAGCTTAAGTAATACAAGGTTGGAGGTCATGCAGCCGAGGATCAGAACCAAATCCGAACTTCCAGTTGGTAAATAAACCACCCCAGATCAGTCCATGGGAAGTTTAACAGTCGTGATAGATTAATACAATCTGTCATTTATTATTGAAGGATACAATTGTAATAAGAGGAGAAGAGGGGGGGAGGGACTTATTAACTTTCTTCCCCTGAAAAGGGGTAGGGGGGTTTAACCAAAGTTTTGAACTGCATCTTACTGGTGTCTCCGTCATAGTTGGTTTGTGTCCTCTCAGGGTGTACCAGTTTTTTCCTGCCGTGTCTCACCTTTCTCGCGTGTGGTGACTTTCATGCACGCTCGCATTGCGCTTGCTCTACTATCCCTGAGGAAAAATGGGGACTACTTGTAGTCTAGTACAAAGTGTAAGTGACAAAACACCAAAATTGTCCCAGTTAAATCACTGCATTTGGAACCTTTTGTAAACAAGCATCTCTCTTCAGAGTCCACTACCATATTTTTATCATGGCTGTAGAACTTTTTATTGTTTTTATCCTCCTTTAACCAACCACTTGAGGCATGATTTGATCTCTTTTATTCACCTTATGAGCTAAAGGCTGCTGATAGGTATTAAGGGATAGTCTGAAATGTCACACGTCTCCACCCGCTAACCTGAAGGGACAGGGGGGTGAGAGAGATGTCTTAATTCCAAGCATTATAATGTTGTCCAGTGACATCACCTACTTTTGCATATTATGGTGAGTATTTTCTGATTGGCTATTACTTGCTGCTGTTCATCGTTCCGTGACCTATGGCTGCCAACCTGTTAAGAAATCAAAATTTATGCCAAAATGCATAAATTACTAGGTGATGTCACCGGACAGCACTATAGTACTTGGAATTCAGACGTCTCTCTCCCCCATGGGTTAGGGGGTGGAGACATGTGACATTTCAGACTATGCCGTGCTGCAATATGTAAGTACTATTGTATGTACATGCAAGATGTGAGATCAGCATTTTATTTTTTTGGCATTTTTAGAATCCCTTTGTTTAAGATGAGAACAATCCGAGATGGTCTCGCAGATGCTGGGATCACACGGGAGCAGCTTAGAGAGAAATGGCAGCAAAAGCATGGCAAGCAGTATGGGGGTCCATGGCCAGAGCCACTGTCAAACTATCTTGATGCACAGTACTATGGTGAAATCATGATCGGAACTCCAGGACAGAAATTTAAAGTTGTCTTTGACACTGGGTCTTCTAACTTATGGGTTCCTTCCAAAAAATGTTCATTCACAGATATTGCCTGTTGTAAGTATAGAAATTATAGCCTCGTATGTTCCTTCCTCTGTTGTTTTATTCCAAGTCACTAATTAGGAACCCATGATTGTAGGCAACCAGCTCTAGACATGACCACTTTGTTGAATTAAAATTTAGTCACTTACAAGAACCTTGACTCACAAATTGAAATTTCAAGAGTGAAGAAGGACTTAAAATGTTAACCTTGTACTACTCTTCTGAATCTCCAGTACTACATAACAAATATGACAGCAGCAAGTCAAGCACTTATGAAAAAAATGGAACAGCTTTTGCAATCCAATATGGCAGTGGCAGCATGAAAGGATTTCTAAGCACTGACACTGTTGATGTAAGTGTGAAAAAATTATGATATTAGTCATGTAACAGATTGACCAGGTTGTGACTCAGACTCACTGTCAATATACAATTGAGTGTTATTGTATCATAGCTATGTACTTTAAAACAAAAGTTTTGAGGATTGCATGAGTTATAAGCTACATTGTACATGCAAAAAGAGTTGTTTTGTCAAGGCTTCATTTTTGTCAATGGTTGCAGTGTGTTTAATTTCTTCCTTGTCAGCCCAATCTCACTGCTTTATCATTTTAATGGCTTGAATGAATCAAAAATTGTGCCGGTGGAGGCGAGGGTTGGGGTACTCCCTAATTTAGGCCATATAGGTATGTGCCAGCCCATCAGGTAGGGTTTTTGCACTTTTTGGGTCTGAAAATGGCTATAGATTTTGAGTTTGGTCTGGAATCGGATATGGGTTTTGAGGAAACTGTGGGAGTGTATGAACGCATATTTTATTGTTTCAATTCCAAATGAGTAAGAAAGAAAGAGAAATATGCGAATTCTAAATGGATTTGAAGAATCTTTTTGTTTGCGCTCTAACATTAGTAATAAGGACATAATTTTTGCCTAAAGGCCAGGTCTGAAAACAGGTATGGACTTTAGAGGTCTCGTCTGAAAACAGGGGTGAAAAATGACAATTTTTGGTCTGAAATAGGGTCAGGATTTGAAGAACCAGGTGGCACACCCCCACCAAGAATTCCCAGAAGTATCCACCCTGGGAAACTGAGGGAGTGGCTTTTGTAAAAAGTTTCAATTTTCTTTTGTCCTGACAGAGGTGATATATGTACATGTACTTTAAAAAGTACTTATCATGAAGGAAATTTTTTGTCTTACTTTTTGTCATTTTATTTTGTTTCCCGATATTGTCCCAGTAAGAATTTTCATTTGCCTTTTGACCTAAAGTACTCTTTGCTTGCAATGTTCACCAATATTGATTGTTCACTACAAGAACTGATTTTCCAGGAAAATGTAAGGGCTATTTTCATTATTGTAGGTTGGCAGTTTAAAGGTGACACATCAAACCTTTGCTGAAGCTACCAGTGAACCCGGAGTGGCTTTTGTTATGGCCAAGTTTGATGGAATCCTTGGGATGGGATATCCCACAATATCGGTTGATCATGTCCCTCCAGTTTTCCAGGGGATGGTCCAACAGAAACTTGTTCCAGAACCCATTTTCTCCTTCTACTTGGACAGGTTTGTTTGTTTATGCTAAAAGTAACATACTGACATAATCAAAAAGTCAATCATCTTATTTCATAGACCTTGCTTTGCAGACACCCTGGTTACACAAACTCGATCCAATTAAAAAATCTGCCAAAAAAACTTCTTCAAAGAGTAATCAAATTCAACAAAGAATTACAGCAAAATTTCCAGGTTGTAGATAAAATTTGGAAAACTCTGAAGGGTTTTTTTTTTGGCAGAGTTTTTAATTACAGGAAATTGGCATGTAGAAAAATACAGGCTGTTAATTTTTATTAGAATTGATTTACTTATTAAGAAATTAATGTGTTTTATTGGCAGTAAGAATTGTCACTTTCTGGTTTGTATTGCTCAAATTTTGTATCAAAGCCATCTTAATTTACATATGAAAAGTTATTGAATCCTTAGAAATGCATCAAATACAGAGCAAACTGTGATAAGCAGTAATTCAGATCTGCATATGTCAAGTTAACTAGAAATAGTCTGTGGAATATTAAAGGCCCCAAGTGACTCCTGATCTAAACAAATGTACACCTTTCGTTGATTTTTTTTGACACTTTTCTGGGCAAAACTGTAATCATGAAAGAAATGAAATAAAAATAATTAACTATAATTACAAGAATAAGTAAAAACCAATTGCAGATCCCCAAAAGGACAAGTGCAAATGGGACCCTAGACCCATGCAAGGCACTGCCCTGTTGTTACTTATAATTAAAATTTCAATAACAATGCTGTTAAATAGCTTATTTTACCCTTGGAAAAAAATTAATTCAAACCCTAGAAGTATGCTAACAAAAATCATAAGTGAATTAAAAAAACACAGGAAAGTGGATGTGGTAGGCACAGTCACTTTAACATGTGACAGGATGATTCACAAGTGTATTCAAGACAAAGTTTATTAATTTGAAGAAAAAAATTAATAGTCCATTATTGCCTCCCTTTTCAGTGTATTATTTACCTGTAATGTACAGTACATCCTTGAAGAAATCCATCAGGCTAGTGAAGTTAATATATATTTAAATGTTCTCAAAGCATAGCCAGTCTTAACGTCTTAATGATGCTGACAGTTTCGATGACTGCTGAAAGTCATCGAAACTGTCGGCATCATTAAGACGTTAAGACTGGCTATGTTTTGAGAACATTTAAATCAATGTACAGTACAGTTCTAGTAACTGAGATTTTGTTGTCCTCAAAAGGAACCCCTCTGGCAGCACCGGAGGTGAGCTTATCCTTGGTGGCTCTGATCCTAAGTACTACACTGGTAACTTCACTTATGTTCCAGTCAGCAAGAAAGGCTACTGGCAGTTTAAGATGGATGGGTAAGTTTTTGTTTCTTTCCGGCTCTATAACTGGCTCAGGGTATACCATTAATTACAAGAAGCACAACTTACCAATATAGCCCATTACTTGTGTGTGCCTTGCATTTGTCAAGTCGAAACTATTTTGAGCCCTTGAAACGGTGTAAATTTGGTTCATTTCCCCTTCACATCCCCAAGCATGGGTTTCATTTGAGGCTAGCTGGAGGCCAGAACAAATTTACAGCAATTTGTTATTTTAGACCCTGAACTTTCACCAGAAACATATTATTTTTATTTCTTAGGTGAAAGTAAATATCTCATAGTAGCCACTTGTTTCTCCTATGAATTTGCTGCTTGAAAAAGCGTTACTGAAGACCTTTCCTTTGGCTGAATAAACATAATAATCAAACAATTATTACTGCCATTAATTTTTTAATAGTATCAATGTTGGTGGAACAGCTTTCTGTGAGGGGGGCTGCCAGGCCATCGCTGACACTGGTACATCTCTCATTGGTGGACCTACTGCCGAAGTCAAGAAGTTAAATGCACTGATTGGAGCTTCACCCGTTGTTAGCGGGGAGGTATGTGCATTCAACCATTTGTCAAAATGTAGTTGGGTACCAGCAAATTAGCCTGAGAAAACAGATGTAATTTTGCAACACCCCTATTAGTTTCTGTGGAAACTGATGTCTGAGAAATGAGCAGAGAAATTCCATGCTGTCCCGACTGAGTAGTGCTTCAAATTGGATAAAATTTCAACCAGTCAGAAACACTACCCAGATCAAGGTAATGAGGCATCATCAGTTTTAAAAATTTCTGTGCTCGTTCCTCACACATCATTTTGCTTGAAAACTAATGATGGTGTCGTGAAATGTTGGCAGTTTTGTCAGGTTACAAGTAAAGCTAAATGCATATAGCTCTGATATGGGTAAATGTTCTAAGAGGACTATTTATTGTGGTGATTATAATGCATTTCATATATATTTTTTAATTAATAGTACGTGATTGACTGCAGCAAGATTGATTCCCTTCCACCGATCGACTTTATTCTGGCTGGAAAAAATTTCACTCTCACTGGAAAGGATTATGTTCTGAAGGTTTGTACATTGATTTTCAAGAATAATCTATCATCAGAAACTCGTTTCTGCTACCATGCAACAGCACAGTACCAGTTTGAAGTAAACCTGTCAAAATTTTCATCTATGTATCTATTTCACCTATGTTTATATTAACCTGAGGTTAAGGTATACAGGCACACTTTGAAAAGAGTGGTAAGATCTTGTAAGATGTCCTCCACTAGCAAGAAATAGTACTAAAGCAAAATGTTTAACTGTATTTCTTTAGTTTTGGGTGCATTACATTCTTCTGACCCTAGTTGTTCAGAAGTTGGATAGCGCTATCCACCTGATAAATCACTATCCAGCAGTCAAGTATTGGGAAACGAATTGTGTTAGCCTGCACTCAATAGAGATTTATCCAGTTATCTAGCGTATAGTGTTTGCTATCCAGCGGACGAGTATGCAGGAAACTGATTGTGTTATCCACTCGAGATTTATCCAGTTACCGTAAAATTCCAGAAATAAGCCCCGGGGCTTATATTTTTCAAAAGCCCTTTTTGAGGGGCTAAAATATATATTCGGAGGTGCTTATATCTACGGAGGGAAATTTTTGTTGTGTTTGAAAGTTGATTAGGCTAGCCTTATAGTGGGAAGGAAATTTACCCTTTTTGCTTTGTTTTAATTTGTATTTGAGGGAAATTTCCAAGTACAAGCCCTGGGTGGGTTATATATGGAGGGGCTTATTTTCGGAATTTGACGGTATCTAGTGGATAGTGTTGGATAGCGCTATCCACTTGATAGAGATTTATCTAGTTATCTAGTCAGGGCTGTCATTGAGAGGCAGGGGCTGGGATGTCCCCTGGCTACTAAGAAAGTGGCCCCCAGCTACTTCCAAAGGAAAATAGAAGAAAAATGGAACCAAAAGAAATCCTTAGCTGTTTGATTGCCCGCCTACTTGTTATATTTACCTGGCAACTTGAAATCTTAGTGACAACCCTGTAAGGTGAAAAGTGTTATCCAGCTTCCAAACAACTTGGACCTGAAATTTAAATTTTATCTTTCTTTCGCTTTCGTTATGGTGACCTTGATTTTGAATCTGCTCCTTTGGTGTCCATATAACGGAAGTTTGACTGTATAGAACACCTGTACATGTATAAGACAGACTCCTCTCTGAAATAGATAATTAGATTCGGTCAATGTCTGATGAGTGAAAGCAAACTGCATCTAATATGAAGTTTATAGATTTCTACCTCAATCACTAGCACTGAAAATCTGTCAGTGCTTTGATGATATGAGAGTTAAGGTCGTGATCTCCCATCATGGATTTTGTAACTTCCATCCTCTATTCTACATGTATATGTATAAGATGTGCATGGAAACAACAAAGGAGAATTTGGGTGCTTTCCATTCAACCAAAAGTCCAGTTTGAATTTCGGCAACTTCCAGGAGCGAGTGGAACAGCATTTTCCAAAATTTCCAAAGAGAAGAGAACCTGGCGAGGTATACCCAAATTTTGGGAAACTTTTTCCTGGAAGTTTTCTTTCCATTCAACTTTGCTCCCCGAATTTCTTAAATTTTCGACTGAGTTGTTCGCATTTCGGAAATTCAACAGTTTCGGGAATTTTTCTTGGGAATTTCTGTAACATCTGCTGCTGTTTCCAAATTTTTGAAACTTTTGGTTCATTGAATGGAAAGCGCCCTTTGTACATTGATATTAAAAAATAATTAATGAATACGGCTGAGTTTGTTATGAAGAATTATGGGGATCGAGGAGGCTGTTATCCTTCGAGGCCGTAGGTCAATGCGGATAACACCCTCCAAGATCTCCATAATTCTTCATATGATATTCAAAATAATTCCTAGTAAACATAGCTAAAACATTCTTAGCTCCATCAATGTTAAGTTCATCTTCGATAGTGCACGGTTAGGGTTGTTCAGCTCTGCAGATATTCTCCAAATAGCAGATGTCACCCTTCGAGTTGTCTTCTTCCCGTTCTTGCAATGTTTTAAGCCATTATTTCGCCTAGTTCTTACTGTTGAAACGAGTGAAATGTGGGCCATTTTTGTTTTCACAATCAAAACAACTCAACCTCGTCCCCAGGTATTCTTGGTTAACGGTGCATTAACCTGAAAGAAGGCTGTACTTTTGACGTCATAGGTTCATTAATCGCAAAATTCTTCCAAATTTGGTTATCAGTAACTGGTTATGGTGAATTATGCGTGTGCTTTTAGCCAATCAGAATCGGGGAAATATTTTGAGTGAATAATAATTGAGATTAACAGATCGTGTTTTTCTTCTCAGGTGACAGTTCTGGGTCAGACTCAGTGCCTCAGCGGTTTCCTGGGTATTGATGTTCCCGCTGGTCCCCTGTGGATTCTGGGAGATGTGTTCATTGGCCCATACTACACTGAATTTGACTTTGGCAACAATCGTGTTGGATTTGCCAAGACTGTGTAAGCATCTGAGGAGAGCTGGGGGACATGTATAAGTGCAAAAGTGGGAAAGAAAATTCCTAGTTGGCATGTCCTGTCGCTTAATGGTCAGAGCTTGAATGGTTTATACAATAGTAAGGGAGATTTATAACAGCAATATTTTGTAATCAAGTCTTTGTTGTACTCCAGTTTGCATGCAGTGTTGAGTAAATTTCTTTTCATTTGTGTTTTTGTTATTTCTTGTCTTCGTTTTTATAATAAAAAATTTTTTTGCACTATTATTTTGATTAATTTTGTCGACGACCCTTGTCCCTATACAATCCTCTAAACTGCATCTGTACCACTGGACCTTCCCGAGGTCGCGCTCGACTTCCGCGCTTCATTCATTTCAGTGGCGTATCCAGGGGACTGGTCCCTCTTATTTTTAGACCAAATTTGTAAACCAAAATGTTTTGGAGACCGACTCCCCACTCCCTTATCTCACGGTCTGGATTCCGCACTGCATTTTTTCGCGCTTTGCTCTTACTTTCTTTGTTCTTCCCGTCGATTTCGACATCTATAGAACCATGTTAAGGAAAACAAAACTAAAGAATCCCACTCATGAACCAACTCTTACCTTTTCCTTGATATTTAGTTTGTCCCAGGTGATTGTCATGCCCGGAGTTTGAATTCGTCATTGTTTTAAAATCTTTTAAACAAATGGTAAACGATTCAGCCTGTACTATTGGGTTTTAGTAAAATCCAGCTAGTGGTCTATTATCAATGCTGCGTTCTGATTGGTTGAGCTACTACTAGGCTATATGTTATAGCCTACTAGTAGCGAAAAGCGCGCGCTTTTTCGTGGCAAAAAAGGATTAAAGTCTAGCTTTAAGTAGCTAAAATTCTTTTATTCTCGATATTTTTGACCAACTAGTTGGATTTTACTAAAAACAATTATTCCTCTCGCCCTCATGGCCTCTGAGTCAATAGCCCATTCGGCCTTCGGCCTCATGGGCCATTGACTCAGAGCTTATTCGGTCTCGAGGAATAATTGTTAAATAGTTGTGCGCAGGAGGTTGCTAAGCACGAAAGAAGCATCGCCTCATGCGACTGTAGCTTCTTAAGTGTTCTGCAATCCTGCCAAGTGCAACTATAACTCAATAGTATACGCAGTGCCGTTTACTATATGCTTTGTTGGCCGGGAACATAAATAGAAATGACTTGTTCGCAAAAGTAAATGACGTTTCGACATCCTTTGCGATAGTCATGTCATGTCATGGTATCACAACGAAAACATCATGAGAAAACAAGACAACAGCCAAGCCAACCCGAGCTGGCTACGTCATAAAAATAGGCCTAGCATTGTGAAAGCGAATTTAACTGTCCATCATGGCATCTCTGGAATAATTCTATCCAGGTAAGGCAAAGCCTGCTCACTGAAGAAGACCCTCTTTTCGTTCCGATGATATCTAGAATTTTGATGCTTCAACCTCGTCCCCCGGGCTTCCCCTTAGAGAATGGAAAAAGCCCTGGGGACGAGGTTGCTGATTCCTCAGAGGGGTACTGTAGACTACTCTTCTTGACCCACTCTATCGTCCTGCTCTTCAAGATAACATAACTTTCAAAAACGAACAAAAACCAAAAGAAGGGAAGAATCTGATGGTATTTCGGTTTGTTGGGAAACATCCACTTTTAAAAGAAAGACAGATAGACGTAAAGCAGGGTTTACTTACAAGAGACGGGAAAGGCGTGTTCAGACAGTTCAGTTCCTAGTAAGAGCGGAAGTGAATTCATTATGGTCCAAAGTTTACACTCGATACACTGCCGATAGCCAACTATGGTTTCTAAAATCAGTGAATTCAATATTCTTCTGAACGACCTCAGTAGCGAATTAGATCAAGCGAATCTACAAAGTTTAATGATCGTTTGCAGAGAGTTTATCCCTGGCGGACAGCGCGAGACGATCCGCTCTGGTTTGGATGTGTTTAGCATTTTACTGCACCGTAATGCGATCGGAGAAGACCCCCCTAAGATGGCCTACTTGCTCAGAATTATCAAACAACTACGACCTAAGAGGAGAGATTTGGTTAACATGGTTAAGAGTCATATTAAACACAATTATGAAGCGCCAGAGGAGATATTGGATGACGTGGATTCTAGTTCAGATGGTTATGCCATTTCGCGATCTTCAACGCCTGTCGTTATGGATCATAACGAATGCTGCGCTGCGCGCTGTTGTTGTTTGAACTGTGTTTGCATTCCCTGTTGCAGTGCCTTTTCGTGCTGTCTGCTCTTGACAGTTTCCTTCATTTTTTTGGTCGTTATGGCCTCAGTATTCTGGTACACGCGACATTTTCCTAGTGTCTACAATTATCTGCATTCTAAGGATGATTTGAAAGACGCAGGCCCAGTGGTCATTGGCATTCTAGCATTTTTTACCATTTGTTTCGTTTTATCTGTGATCTACACAAGTGTAAAGAAAGGGAGAAACAACATATCTTATTCAAAACTCGCAAGCTTAAACGATGCCAGAAGTACTGACGTAGTCCCTGGTAGCCGTTACGCAGCTTCGGATTCAACCCGAACAAGTTATTCCGGATACGTAAAGAAGATTGATCGCCCTAGCCGAAGACGAGACTATTCTTGTAGTTCCGGCGGCATTACACGATCCAATTCACTTGGGACTCCACCACTCCTTACTTACCCTAACGACCCCCCCTATAAGGGCTCGCAGGAGGATGTTTCCTCTACAGAAATCAAAGCGGAGGAAGGAGGAAAGGAAGGAGAAAACTGAAGGACAAAAAAATTTTTAGACTGTTGACAGTCCCTCGTGTTTAAAATTGCCGAGATCGTGCGCTTGCGTTACGGGCGGCCATCCTGGTGCCAAATGTTCTGAGTCCTCTGGGGATGAGTGTCAAATCCACATACGAGGCGGGGAACGGTCTGGGAGGGTGTTCTCGCTGCCCTCCTCCCACCGCTATAAACGCAGACTTCCGCCCCCTCGGTAATTATGAAACCAAGAAGGTCGCCCGTACCGGTAAGCACCCGATCCTAACGATCTTACGAAAAATGGGAGACTGGGAACAGTCTGATCTAGAACAGTGATGTTCAATCCGTCCGCCACATTACCTCTTTAATCTTGCACCCCAACGTAATATATCGCCCTTCCAGTACTTCCAGAACTGCCCGAAATTACGTTGGTAAAACGGTGAACAGGTGTCAGTTAACTGAAGAAAAAAATGGACTCAATGCGTTAAAAACTCTAGAAACTAATACCCGGCCGATACAGTGGTGATGTCGTTTGCGTTATGCATTTTCACTGTCACGCAGTAACATCGATGTATTCAGTCTCGCCAAGATTCAGTCAGGGAGTGCAGTGGGGAGAACCTCGTTTCCAGGGTTCTCTCCTACCGGGAGAGATAACCTGGGAACGAGGTTGCACTGGGGGAAGCGTCCCTGACCAGAAAAAAAGTTAATGTTTGTCGAATATCCTGCGTTTAAAGTATTTCTCATCCCCCTCTTCCATCCTTTTTTGCTCTCTTTCAAAGAGTTGCAAAGACCTCGCGCAGAAACACATTCTACGCAGGCCACCTACATTTTTTTTTTGTAAGTGGGTGGGTAATCCCTTGAATTTTTCTCCATATTCCCTTTTACGGATAGATAGATAGATAGATAGATAGATAGATAGATAGATAGATAGATAGATAGATAGATAGATAGATAGATAGTTTTTTTCACCTTAGAAACTTGCAGCCAAGAGCTGAATTGTGGTAAGGTCTACAAATGTAATAATTTTCAACTGTACTAAATTACAACTAATTAAAGCGCTTCACAGATAATTAAAGAAAGATGATCCACCATAACTTACGTTTTTAAATCCGTTTGTAAAATCGCAAGTTCAAATGCATGCTTCAAGCTCCTATATACAATAAGAAACAAAATTATCATCTAGTTCTTAACTACTGTAAACATAACTTAAAAGAAAACTATTCTCGCATCTTTCAGTTTTACACTTTGGACGAAGATAAATGTTCTTTGTTCTCTCAGAGAGGAGCTTGACTGGTATTTGCTTGGAAGTAGTTTGAAGTTTTGCGACGCCGTAAAAGAGAAGCTGAAAACAAAATAAAATTGAGGGAGAGGGTTGCAACGTTTGTGGCGCCCCAACGGTCATTGACTACGGGATAGGTACAGGTGCAGGTGCAGTTTGTGGAGACTGTGACATTGATTAGCACATTTTTATCGACCAACTTTGCCGCAATTGCCTCCCTTCTATCATACAGTGTTAAAAGAAATGCGAGAAACAATCAGAATTCCAACATTTTAAATTAAAATGATCTTAGTAAGTAAGTGTTTCATACCTGAAAATAAGCACTTATTGAAATTAACGGGAATTTCAAAACCTAGTTTAATTTAAGTCGCGTTAATGTTTGTATGAGTTAATTTCCGCGACCTTAATTTCCATTATTTTGGCCCTAAATTCTGAGCGCTCAATACACTTTTGACATTCTTGACACCTAAGAAAGAGGAGTATCTTATCAGGGTGGAGATCCGCCAGTGTAACAGCGAAACTGTAAGAACCCTCACTTGACCCCCTTTTACGTTATTATTTTCTTCTTCTTAACGAAAACTTGGGGACGGTATAATAACGACAAACACATCTCCTCTGGACCCTGTGTAGAACATCAAAACCCGTCGAAAACCTCTGAAAAATGGGTTATTTATGATCGCTTTACAGTTTCCTTAGACATTCTAAAGACCGCAAACCAAGAGACTGAGGGCTCGCAAGATCGGCTTACGGTACAAAATACGGACGCCCTTCGGGCGACGGCCTTCGGTCACCCCGAGTTGGGCGAGGTGCCGTGCGCCAGCGAGGATATAGCTTGCGGTTATTGATATTCAAAAGTCGATCTGGGTCAAATAAGAAGCGAAGAAATCGTTTACAGTAGATGTATAAAGATCCCATTGGGCTAATTAATCGTGCTAAGCGACAGGTATAGACATTTTTCAAGGTGAGACTTTAAATAAGTAATTCATTTATTCACACGA